TGGTTTCCTCATTTGTCACAATTCTTTGAGCCGTCGTCTTTAACAACCAGAGGAAGCATCTTCAGGTTTACGACACCATCTCTTTACTCTGTGTGTCTCTTAAAGGGCCCGTCGTGTTGGAGCCGTGAGGGGGGGTGAGGGGGTGAGGGGCCCCGTGCTGCTGCTGTCCTGACCCCGTGACTGGCTCCACTATAACTTAGGCAGTGATTAGAACGAGCTCACAAGGGCCTCTGCTAACGGTGTGTGTGAGAGTCAAAGATGAGCCTCTCACGGAACACACACTTTTTCTGTTGTGCCGTTTGGCTCATTGTGTTTCACTCTGTGTTTATTTGTTACACACAAAAGCAGGTTTTACTCTTTTCTGAAGGCTGGCCAGGGAGATATTGCGTTTGGATTCATATTCTTAAATAAACAGCAGTATTTGCACAGTGACACAGTGAGCTGGGAACACTTCACATGAGTGGCATGTGTCAGTATCAGTGTCGCGTTACAGAGTCTTGATGATTCTACGTTTCCTCAGATGCCCTCCCGCCTGTGGAGGAGACTCCCAGCCCCCAGGCCCAGGACCGGCTCTGAACACCAGAGCAACTAGGACAAGAGAAAAAGTCATTTCAGTGAGAAATGTTTGTTGTTTTAAAAGATGGAAGTTAGTTTCTTTTCCATTTTAACATCTTGGCAAATACTTTTGACCTTATTTCATGTATTACATCATTTAAACAGCAGTAACTTTCCTGAACAGTTTTCTTTTTGAGTTTTATCAGAGCTAGTGTCAGACCACATGGTGTATTAAACAAATACTTTCATTTGTGTTGAAAATGACAAAATGATTGTCTAAAAAGCAGCTTTAAAATGATCATTTGTGTATTGAGTATTGAGTATCTGCAGTACTTTGGATTCATGTAAAATAGAGTAACACTTTCAAGACTTGTAAAACATTGATAACATATCAAATGTAGTTTTTCTTGCCGTTTGTCTGTAGTTTGTTTTGTTTGTGTTGCCATAGTAACTGACCACCATCTGTGTAGTGGCATGTGTAGACTGAAATTGGACTCAAAGTGGGTATGAGAGTGTGTCCTGCTCGGGCGTTTGACCCTCAGTCTGGAGGAGGGGGGGTGGGGACGGGGGGGTTAGAGAAAGCAAACAGCGCCGCCCTCTCTGTGAGCGGGGGATTAGACCCCAGCCCGTCTCTTTCACTGATAAGAGCTTTCAACAGCCAATCACCGAGCTCTAATCCAGGGACAAATGGCCCCTGGATTAGGGGGCATTTATTTGCTAATGGTTCATTGTGGGCCCTTCACAGCTGCAGCGTGTGGTGGAGGGGCCGAGGAGGCTGAGGGGGAGAGGGGGTGTGACCGTGCTCTCTGCCCCCTCCATGGACACGAGACAAGGGGGAAGGTAGTGTCAGGAAGTAACTAAGTACATGTTCCAATAATGCTTGTTCAGAATACTTTGCTTAAGTACTCTGGTACAGTTTGCAGTTTGCACTATTCAGAATACTCAAAAATCAAAGAAGTACTGCAGTACTTGAGAGGCCATTGAGGCTCTGAAGTGCAGTTTTAGTGAGCAGTAAGTGCACAAGTGATTTTCTTTTTCAGATCAGTGCTAAATAAACACACAACAAACCATGGAAGAAAAATGAAGCTGTTTTAAAATGACACAACATGAAAGTGTAAAATCCCTCAGTCGTCCTGGTAGAATCCACAGCACCCAAACCGCTAAACCTATTCAACCTAATAAACTTTTATCCAATTGACAAATTGAATTTCTCTTTTTGCCATACATTACATGAAGTTTTTCAAAGGTGGCAGAGTAGCCAACAATTGTACTCAAGTAAGAGTAATTTTACTTAATACTCAAGTACGTGGTAGTGGTCCAAGCAGTTAGAGTAATTCTTAGAGTAATTGTCAGGATTAAACATTTATTGTTATACATTTGTTATATAAATATAAACTGCTGTAAGTTTCTGAAATTGGAACCAACCTTGAAAAAATGCAGACAGGGTTTTATCACAGGATTATGCACAAACACAAATGGTCAAATAATGAATCAATCCTATTATCAGTTGAGTTTTTGTCACTTGTACACTCACAGTGGAAAGAGTAAACAGGGGCGGCAGGGGCAGCAGGGGGCGGGTGGCACCTGCACTAATGAGGCTCTAAACGGCCAGAACACTTTGAAAAGTCATGAGTGGACACAAGATTTACAACTCCAAAGACTGAGCACTTCACCCACAGCAGGAGGTCTGGACTCAGGAGGATCAGGAGCTGTTCTCAATCACTTATCGTGACTCTCCAACTTATCTGGAACATAATGATGTAGTAAATATTCAGTTTGGTACATTTATATTTGAATAGAGTTTCTCAAATGTCTTTCACTTTCACTCGTTTACCTCATGACTTTTAAAATGCTCTGTTATGTTTTATCTAAAAAAAATAATAAAATAAAATAAAAAAAATTATATGGACGCAACTTGCAAATCTCACATTTCTGAAGTACTTCAAAGTTCTCCCAAACAACCAAAACGCCAAATGATGTAGTGTGAAGGAGAGGATAGGGAGAGTGTGACTTCTCCTCTGTGTTTGGATTAGTCTCAGTTAAACGGTGTGGGCCTGAGGCTAAATCCAGCTCTGGACGGTGCATGAGAGCGAGTGAAACCCAACACTCTGACCGAGGAGCTGAGGCCTGTGCAGCGCAGGAGCTGAGGCCTGTGGCGGCGGCGTGGGGCAGACGGGGTCACCCTGAGGAGCACCCGCTTTCCCACGCTCTGTGCACACACAACCAAAGGGTCCAACTGAAGAGTACACACAACTAAAGGGTACACACACAACTAAAGAGTACACATACAACTAAAGGGTACACACACAACTAAAGGGTACACACACAACTAAAGAAGAGTACACACACAACTAAAGGGTACACATACAACTGAAGAGTACACACACAACTAAAGAGTACACACACAACCAAACTGTAGGCACACAACCAAAAGGTACACACGCATACAAAGGCTATGCACACAACTGAAGGGTACTCTGTCCATATACAACAAATCTTGCATCTTTAACAAAATTCTGTGACATTACACACAGAGCCTAGAGTCTGAGAAGCATCACACAGTGTGCGCTGCCTTACACGTTGTGTAGTCTGATCATTCTCTAACGGCTGAATTGTAGTTCTGTGTTGACTAAACACACACTGCCGCGGTCGCCTTGTCACCATCGTTTTTGATTTGTAGATCTGTGTCGAGGTTTATGTGCTGCAAAGTAATTCATGACCACAACACTAGGGGGCGCTGAGTCACTAAATCACATGAGCTCGTTGGTGGAGTGTTGTGTTTACCTTCTGGTTTCTACATTCGGCCGAGTCCACACCGAGGTTTTTGACGATCTCCATCATTGAATTACTTGACATTTATGTGTCTTTGTAGCTTTTGGAAAAGGAATTGTAGAGGTGATCATATTTCCTCGCGTCTTCGGTCAGACGTTCTACTAGTTTCATCTTAGGAGGAGGATTAAGAGAGGACCAATCACAGCCCTTAGTCTCTGCGTCGCTTCCCTTGCTCTCTGCATCGGTTTGACATGTAGTTAGAACATTTCAGAGGTGCACATTGGTCGATGCAGATGCTCTGCTGATGAGGTTCAAGGAGACGCAGATGATTCGACGCACAACCATAAATTGGGCTTAAGACAAAAAATAGTCCAGTGGACTCCAGGCTTAAGGGAATTCTCTTTGTGTGTGACTGAAGTGATTCTGGCGGCTCTGGTGGAGCGCCCTGAACAAGATCTGTGTGAGGAGGTCTCACTCGGATCACATGTCCAACAGAGTAATGCAGGTCAGACAGCAGCTGGACACATCTGCAGGGCATCTGGACTAACTCCCCTCCAAAAAATAAAATAAACACCATTATTCTTATCACAGTCCACTGCAATAATCTGACTATTTTCTGTGGTGACATGGGGGGGTTGAGTTGTACATGTGTGTTACCTTTTGTCTTTGTGAATAACACAACTGAAGACTGTGCCAGAATTCAGCTCTAATGATCAGTGATCTCCAGCCAGTCGTCTGTGTAGAAGACTGTTTGGAGCAGATGAACACTTTGAAGGAGGAAATCTGGCTTTTTGTTTGTTTCGAATGGCACTGATTGAAAGTGTGAGTGTTAGTTTGAGTAGGTAACTCCTTTTGTCTGGTCCAGTACAAGTCTATTTCCAATTCTTGTCAACACTACAAGACTACAGGATTCCAGTAGACAGTTCCTTAGCTCCTCTTTTACCCCAGCCCTCTCCGTTTTATAAATAGTTGAAGAACAATGGCAGATCTTTGTGGACATACGTGACCTCATTAGGGACCATATGTGTGGGAGTAGCTTGTGCCATATTGCCTCCTCCTCACCCTCCATTATCAGGGTTAAACGTGAAACTGGAGCCCTCAGCCCCTCAGGGTCCTCCGTCTGCCCCTCTGGCTCTGCTCCTCTGTTTTTGCTCCTGTCGCTGCTCCTGTCGCTGCTCCTGTCGCTGCTCCTGTCGCTGCTCCTGTCGCTGCTCCTGTTTGCTCCTCTGGCTCCTCTGGCTCGGCTCCTCATGCCTCTGTGCTTGTATTATGTCTAACAGGGGTCAAACGCTCACACCCCGACATCCTGAGCCCGCCCCTTAAGGCACTTCCTCCCCCCGCAGAGCTGTCAATCACCCACACCCTGAGGAGCAGAGGCGAGCTGGACATGGACACTGTGGGACTGTGGACACGGACACTGTGTGACTGTGGACATGGACACTGTGGACACTGTGGGACACTGTGGACTGTGGACACGGTGGACGTGGACACTGTGAGACTGTGGACACGGACACTGTGTGACTGTGGACACTGGACACTTTTGGGCTCTGAAGTGGGTTTTGTGTGTGTGGGGTTTGTCTCAGGATGTGTCCACAGTCGTGGTGTGGGGGGAGCTGTCCTCTTGGTTCTGTCCATGTTAAGTCTTGTGTGTGTGTGTGTGTGTGTGGTTGCAGGTTCTATCGCGGGGACTACCACATCGACGTGTGCATAAATGATTACATGGACATCTTCTGCCCTCACTACCTGAGCCCCATGGCCACAGAACGCGCCGAGCGCTACATCCTCTACATGGTCAACTACGACGGGTACACGTCCTGCGACCACACGGGCAAAGGCTTCAAACGCTGGGAGTGCAACCGGCCCCTGTCCCCCAACGGGCCCCTCAAGTTCTCTGAGAAGTTTCAGCTCTTCACCCCCTTCTCACTGGGCTTCGAGTTCCGCCCGGGCAGAGAATACTACTACATCTGTGAGTACTACACCGCTCCATTCAACTGCAGTACTCAAGTATTTGTGCCATTGTCAAATCAGGATTTAGTCTGATGTCACAGTGCATATTTGTATAATTCAATACAAGAGTCCCATTCATTTCACAACATTTTTATATTTCAGAAATCGCAGGGCATGTTTTTTTGTTTGCAGACAACATTTTAGACCCTAAATATTGTTACCTTTAAAGTGTATTAAATGATCCCAGAGTCATTGTGCAGCTCTAGTTTTAAAGCAGACATGAAGAAGAGTCAGTGCTGCTGCACATCTCACATGAAACATTATCACAGCGTTCAGCTCTTCGCTTTTAGAACTTAATTAATGTTGCTTCCAAGTGTGTTTGCTAATAGCTAGCAGCTGTTAGGACCCCCGTGAAACAGAGACGCTTCATCTCGAGGGGCTCTGTTCAAATAAATAAATATTGCTTTTAGCCTTATTTAAACAGTCCATGTCCAAAGCTCTGAGTCATGTGTGATAGAGCACCTTTTAGTTCCAGGATCTGGTCAGTCGCAGGGTTCACACCAGGACAAACATGGATTCCAGGGACAGTGTTGCCAAATTGGGCAGATTTCCGCTCACCTGGGCTACACCTGTTCCCCCGGAGAGAAAAAAAAACAGAGAGAAAAATTTTATATACACATATAAATATATATATATATATATATATGAAGGGTGTGTATTTTTTGGTGGGATTTTAGTCGTGTCAAATAAACATAATTTACAAAGAGGCAAGTTTACATTTTCAGCTCAATATGTGTGATGAGACGAAGCACCACAGTGTCTCCACACACACACACACACATGCATACACACACACACATACACACGCATACACACACATACACACACGCACACATGCACACATGCATATACACACACACACGCACGCACACACACACACACACACAGAACGTGTGCCGCTTCTGTGTGAACAGTGCACACTTTTCCTTTGATTTATTTTGACCACTGATCAAATATGTTCTTTCAACTACAGACTTAGTTTGGGTTTAGGGTTGGTCGTTTGGGGAGGATCTTGGTGCCCGTCGGGCAGGAAAAAGTGAGATCCATCTGGCAACACTGTCCAAGGAGTTAAAGATGATGTCAGAATAGTTACGGCACACACCCAAACTCCACATCTCCCTGACCTCCTGATAAGAGTGTGATCCCGTCTCATCTGTGGACCTGCCTCATGTTTTGTTGGCTCCACATCAGTGTTTATCACAGGGTCTAACATCTCCACAACATGAGCTGTCCTGCCAAACCACCATCACTCAGCCAAATGTTGATATTACAACCGGGACTGAAATCAGATCCCTTTGTAGTCCTGCTTTTGTTTGGGTTTAGACCTGGTGTAGTTCTGGTGGAGCTCTGAGTAAGCCCTGCTTTTAGTCTGGGTTGACTCTTGACTAAAGCCTGTTTTGAGTCCTGGTCCTGGTCTGATTCAGGCTCTTATCAGAGTCTAGTCCTGGCACAGTCCTGGACAGCACCTTTACATAATCATCATGGGTTGAATTTTCCTTTTATTATCAAATGACATCATCAGTACTACATGGAGCACCTTCAGTATACTTTATGATCAGGAGGGAGGTCTGGTGTGTTTGTCTCCGTGGAGATCATATTGCTTTGCCTGGAATGTTCCACAGTAAACTCCTTCATTCATTCAACTACACATTTTAATAGTTCAAAAATACCTTGAAAACATTCTGACTGTGAGCGGGGTCACCTCTCCACAGATCTGACCTGTGATTTGGCCTGGTGACGTCTTGTGCTAGTCTCTATATAGATTAAAAGTTTTAATGCTATACTGTGGAACATTCCAGGCAAAGCTGTAAACTCTGCTGCGTTTTGGAAATAAGATTTCTCATTCTTTTCCCCATACACCTTTAGACATGAAGGAGACTGAGTTATCTGCTAACTAACGCCCACAACGTCATTATTTTATTATTCTGCTGAATGTTTTTATTATAAAATGTATAAAGTCCAAAAATCTGCTCTTTAGGCAACACAGAGTCACCACACAGCTGATCATGGAGCTTTCAAACTCTTTAAAAGTCTAAACCCTGGGTTCAGCCGCTCTGCTCCAGGCCAAACCCTTCCCTCCAGTCATCTGTCACAGCCTTGTTCTCCTGCAGTCCCTCTTCAATAAACAGACCAGACGCCCACAGCACCCAAGAGTGCAGCCAGATAGGAGCACCTAAGGGAGAAGACAGACACCACAGACTGAATCCATGACTCCCAGAGCGGAGTCACAGCAGAGCTCACAGGAGTAACGTCTCGTAGTCTTTGGACATTTCACAGAGCAGCTTCTTTTGTCCAGAAATGTCCTCTTTAAGCTTTTCCTCGCTCTCTCCTCCTATTGGTCAGCGTCAGTCAGGCTCTGAGTGAGTGACAGGTGGATGTAACCAATCACAGTGACACGTGGATGAAGAGGAAGCAGATAAGAGTGCTGACATTACCTCTGAAATGCAGTTAACATGGTGGAGTCCTGGTTCAGACCTGGGTTATTATTTGTGTACACTGGATTTAGATGTTTGATGGACAGATTTTTTTCTTTTTAATTCTTAGCAAGGAGATAGAAAGGTTTAATGCCATACTGTGAAACATTCCAGAAGAAGAAATAACATCTTCATGGAGAAAAGCATTTGATGGACCCCCCCAACCAGAAAAGTTTCCTTTTTTCAGATCCATTTTAGTCCTTTAATTAAAGTTGCACTACATACTTAGTTTTTGGAAGATGGCGCCACCTGCTGATCTGTTCTCTCTTTGCCTGTGACCTTCCACTGTTTGGTGTAAACATCACAGTTCTACATGGAGTATATTCAGTTACAAACATCACCTGCACACATACACACATACATACACACATGCACACATATATACACACACACATACACACATACATACACACATGCACACATATATACACACACATACACACATACATACACTCACACAAAATGTCACCCAATCCTGTTTTCTCCACCTCTGCACAATTAGTAAAATCAGTCATATCTTCTTCCACCTTGATCTTGAAAAAGTCATCCACTCGTTCATCTTCTCCCGTCTAGATGACTGCAGCTCCCTCCTCTTCCGGCCTCCACTCCAAATCCATCTCCCGCCTCCAGCTGGTCTGCCTGTGTGTTTTAGAATCGATCTGAACATTTTACTGATCACTTTTACAGCTCATTTAGGTCTTGCACCGAGTTACAGAACGTTTAACCCCGTCCGATCCTTCCGCAGCTGCAGGTCCTCAGGCAGGTCCCTGTGGCTGCTCTAAAGTCCAGGCTCCAGATAAAGGTGGTGGAGTATTTTCAGTCCGGGCCCTCGGCTTTGGAACGACCTGCCTGAGGAGATAAGACTCATACCAACACGATCATCTTTTAAATCACTTCTTAAAACTCATTTTTAGGTTTGGTTTTAGCTAGATTTTATTCCTTATTTATTTTAATTCTATTGTACATACACACACACATACACACACACAAACATACATACACACATACACATACATACATACATACACATACATACATACATACATACACACACACATACTACATACATACATGCACACACATACACATATACATACATACACATACTGTACATACATACACACACACACACATACATACATACACACATACATACACACACATATATACATACATACACACATGCATACTACATACATACATACATGCACACACATACTACATACATACATACATACATACACACATACATAAGTGAGACTCCTTCATGTTTTATCTGACTGGAGTGTGTATGAAAGTCCTTCTCCATACACATGTGTACATACATACATACATACACATGTGTACTGGTTGCACATATATGGTGTAATACTATCACTACTGTGTGATCTCACAAACACTGAGGCAGACAACATAAGCCCTGTTTTCTCAGCTGCACAGAGTCACTCCCACGCCAGCCCGCCCCAGTCCTGTGTCATTCACTGTAAATATAGGTCTCATAGTAACACACAGAACATTACACACACACACACACACACACACACACACACACACACACACACACACACACACACATACACACACACACACTCACACACTGCAGGCTCCTCCAGACACCCACCACAAACATGAACTCCAAAACAAAACAGCACTCAGACAGCAAAATGGACTCTTGTGAGCTTCAAGCCATGTTATAATGTTGTTCCCTCCTCCAAAACACACCTGGAGTTGTGTTTTGTTTCATTCACACATGTTTGATTAATAACCCTTTATTATTAGTCTGTCCACATCACCAAAGCTCCAAATGCTCTGCTCCACCTTGTGATGTCATGAAGTAGTAGTTTTCAAGTTCAACAACTGCTTTTATCTTTAGTTCAGTAGAGATTGGCAACTCCAGAGCTGAAATCATCTAACTGATTCTAGTGAAGGTGCATGTGTGCAATTTAAAAAACACTTGAGCAATTTTGTGTTTTTTGTTTGAGAGGGAAATTCAAGTAACCTATATATTCAGGGGTTGTGTGTTAAATATGTGTGAATGAAACAAAACACAACTCCATTCCACAACTCCAACACAACATTAGAACACAGATCAGAAAACAGTGTCACATAGGAACTTTAAAGAAACCCACTGAGGTCATTTCAGAATTTTAGAAAATGGAGTTCTAAGGATTCACAGAAATCACAGACTGCCTTTAAAATTAGAATTTGAAAGTGCGACTTTTTGACTTTAGGTGGAATCAGACATTTTAACGGACTTAGAGAAGAATGAATAAGAAGTTTTTATTTAAAATCATGAAACTCCTCCTCCAGCTCCAGGTCTGCAGAGAGTCAGGCCGGACAGGTCAGAGGTCAGAGGTCACACACATGACGGAGCGTGTTGTTTCTGCTGAGCCCAGGGAAGCCATCTTAATCTGAGGGATCTAAAACCAATCAAACTCTGAGACAGTGAGAGGGACTACACACACACCCGTCTCATGTTCACACACACACACACACACACACACTCATCAGACGCACGTCATATCTACAGTGTGGAGTCAGACTCTTATTATGGGATGGATGTTTAGTTTTGAGGAGCACTGATCGTACAGAGATTTCCAATAGCCACAACTATATGAAAATGTAATGAAGTCAGCTACGGAACTAATGATTCATGGTCCACAAATGAACTTTTTTCCCTCACATTCTGTCATTTTTCAAAATCTTTTTAGAAACTTGACCTGGTCCAGATCAGGTTTTGAGTTCAGAGCATGATACCATAGAGATTTATCTGTCTAGTGTTACAGTACAGTATAGTACAGTATAGTACAGTATAGTACAGTATAGTACAGTATAGTACAGTATAGTACAGTATAGTACAGTACAGTACAGTGCAGGCCTCAGGTTTAGACCTGGTTTATCCTGGTTTTGCTCTGGTTCATCCCTGGTGTAATTTGTATCTTATTCAGTCCTGGTGTAGTAATAATGTGGTCTGGACTTAGATTGGGTTTATAATTGATTAGGTCCCGAATTGAACCTGGTTTAGTCTTGGTTTTGTGCTGATGCATTCCTCATCTTGATCAGTCCTAGATTTTACCTGATTTAAATTTTTAGTCCTGGCTTAGACCTGTTTTAGTCCTTTTAATTTTTAGTCCTGTTTGCTTAGACCTGGTTTAGTCCTGTCTTACCTTTTAGTCCTGTCTTAGTCCTGTTTAGTCCTGGTTTAGTCCTGGTTTAGTCCTGGCTTAAACCTGTTTTGGTGCTGGTTTAGACCTGGTTTAGACCTGTTTTGGTGCTGGTTTAGACCTGGTTTAGTCCTGGCTTAGTTGACTTCCATGTGGTTTCCATGTGGTCCTGCTCATCCACACTTGTGGCTGCCAGATCATGCTCTGTGTGTGAAGCGTGTGTGAAAATATGTGACTTGTCGCCATGGAGACGGGCCCATCCTGACACGGGTCCATCCTGACACGGGTCCATCCTGACAGAGGCCCCTGACAGAGGCCCCTGACAGAGGCAGGGTGGAGGACATAACACCACAGTTCTATAGAATCAATAAAACATAGAGAGTTTGTGAGAGTTTGGGTGACAGTGCGTCCAGGCTGTGCTGCCCTCTTGTGGAGGCGTGTGGAGCTGCGTGTTAAACAGCAGCTCTGATGCTCATGAGTGATGTTTGTTTGTGTCCTCAGCTCCCATGACCGACGAGACCCGGAGACGCAGCTGCCTCCGCCTCAAAGTCTTTGTCAGACACACAGGTAACACACACATACAAATGTCACATTCTATGTTTTTTTTATTTTGTTTTTTTAAGATGAAAACTTTTTATTTTCACCACTCATTTATGAAATACAAGATACATTCATTTATACTTTACTGTGGAATATCTTCATGGAGGAGATAAGGTTTTGAAATCAGGTTCTGACTTCAGTGTTAGAAGACTGTGGTGTCCAGTGGAGCTGACGTGGCCGTAAACGTCATGACAACAAAACTCCACAGCTGTGGCCCCTCGTGTGAAGAGCTGCACATCACACTAGAGCAGAGAGTTTTTTCCACATTTGTACCAAAATGACCAAAATGACAACTCGATACTACTGAATCCTACATGTATCACCAATAAAGAAACTAAAACTGGACAACAATTCTATTTTTGTAGAATAGGTGCTTTAATAGTGACAAGTACAAGTGTCCCCAACATCTAACCTCTCTCCCTCCTCTCCCTCCTCTCCCTCCTCTCCCTCCTCTCCCTCCTCTTCCTCCTGCTCTCGCTCTCCGTCTGTTGCAGATAACTGTGTGCGCAGCTCGGGCTCGGTGCCGGAGGTGGAGAGTGACCAGAGCAACTACCTGGAGCCCAGAGGTCAGAGTCTGTCTTTACCTTTACAATAAGAAAAGGTCAAACTGATTTCATAGAAAGTCGGGGGTTAGACAGTTTTGAAATATTATTGAACAAAAACATGTAGCATGTTTTGGGAAAGATATACTGTGATGGTGTGTTGTGTAGGTGGCCGTCTTTTGTCTCGGCTTAGACGTGTCCTATGTGCATTACAAAGCCCTGGCCCTAAATATATACTTCGAAAATTAAGATTCAGTTGACAGTATTTGACAAGTTGAAATATTAAAAGCCAAACTAAGACAATTCATCCTGATGCCATGGTCAAATTTTATTATTATTATTCCCAAAAAAAAAAAAATTAAAAATCTACAATCACCATAATACAGTACAATACAAGAAAAAAAGAGACATTTGGTTAAAATTATATTTACTATGCACAGAATGTTAAGTTTCATCATCAATGTACAGAAGCAACCACATCATTTTAGAATTTTTTTAGAATTTTTTTAAACTATGTCTTCCCGCTCTCTTTTGAGAAATGGGCTTTTCTTTTTTGGGCTTTTTTTGTGTGTGTGTCTGTGTGTGTGTGTGTGCGTGTGTGTGTGTGTGTGTGCGTGTGTGTGTGTGTGTGTGTGCGTGTGTGTGTGTGCGTGCGTGTGTGTGTGTGCGCGTGTGTGCGCGTGTGTGCGTGTGTGTGTGTGTGTGTGTGTGTGTGTATGATTGTTTCTCTCTTGGCACAAACTCCAGAAAAAAAAAAAAAAAAAAAAAAAAACAAGAATAAAATCAAGATTATTTTTAAAGTAATGTAGAGAATTGCAAGAAGAAAAAAAAAAAAGAAAAACATATGAAATCAGAAGGACAAAAAAATGATGATTTTGTAAATAAATAAAAAAGATCAGATATCAGATTTAGATTTGAATGATTTTGTGTGTCTCGTTCCAGACGGCACCAGTCACGAGCCTCCCGAACCCTCCCGCCACGACTTCAACTCCTCCCACAGAGCCTCCGCCCACTCGCTCATCATAAGCTCCGCCCTCTTCCTGCTGGCCGCCATTTTGTCCTCATAGCGCCCCCCGTAGCCTGGGAGAAGGACTGCCCCCTCCCCTTTTTCCGGAGCACTTTTTTTAAACACACATTTTTGTCTCTGGAAACGCAGAGGCAAAACAAAGGACTTCTACGACGAAGCAAGAAGAAAAAAGAAAAAAAAGAAAAAAAAAAAAAACTTTTTTTGTAGCGATGGAAGTGAACTGACCTGGTCGCCATTTTGAGAACTTTTCGATATTAAACCACGCGCCACAATCACTCATTTTTGTCCACTAAGAAGCACACTAACATGTTGGAAGTTTACAGACTGTTAACCACGTGTTTTTACCTTTTAACCTGAAGAGCGTTGAAAACTGGGACTGCCAAGAAAGCACGGACTATTGGTGGACTGTACTCAGGGTCCAGTGTGGGGGAAAGTAGCAGCCATTTTGTTGTACAGAAGACTAGAATGTTGTGTTGTTTTTTATTTATTGTGTTGTGCCATTTGGGTTGTAGCCTCACACACTTAGGAATGCAATAAGAATCTTACTGTTTCATGTTTTTGTATACACTGTGTTGGAGCGGCTGCAGGACTGGAGACGGCTGGTTTTAGGATATATTGATACTTTGTAGGGGGGTTTGCATGTATGTCTATGGAGGAATGTTCAGCAGTTACCATGGTGACACGATTACGCACATTAGCAAACCCAGCCTGTTAAGATTTTTTTCTGAAAACTCATGCAAAAATATTTGATTTTCAACAAAATGGTGAGAGGAAAACAAACAAAACAAAGCTCAGATTTAAGTTTAACTTGAGTAAAAAAACTTCAGACAGAGCAGTGCCTGTAGTTAACATCACACATCTATGAATGTTGAATCAGTTGCAGTGTCTCAATTACCGTATTTTCTGCACTATTAGACGCTCTGGATTATAAGGTGCACTGTCACTGAATGGTCTATTTTTGAATTTTTTTCACATATACCGTATTTTCTGGGCGATTAGCCGCGGTCTTAAGCCTATAACCGCATCAAAAAACAACCGCGTGCCCCGCAATCCAGAGCGCCCTGTACACGTATCCACTCGGGTGTCCCAGCACGACTTTAGTAAACTACAAAGCCGAACACACAGACACACACGGAGCAGACAGTGACCGCACAGCGAAAAACACCCACAGACACACTCATCACTCCACACCGACGAGGAATGGAACGGAGGAACGAACCGATGTGCCACTTCTAGACACGACTGAACAACTGAGTCACTGTGAACACGCCGACAATACAGCGACAGACAACACCCTCCCTACACGCCACAACTGAACAAAGCCCAGAGTCACCGTGAACGAACAAACAAACAAAACCACTCACCCATCACACTGTTGGGTTTCCTTTAAAGTCCGGTGCGGTTTATTTGTGAAAGAAGTTCGAAAAAAGACCATTTAATGACAGTGCGTCTTATAACCCAGAGCGACTAATCATCTGTAAAATATGGTAAACCGCACCGGACTATAAGGCGCATTAAACCAAACACAACAGTTAGATAAGTCATCAAACTTTACTTAACGTGTTCACAGTAACTCTCAACTTTGTTCAATTGTAACGTAAAAAAAATAAATAAAATTGTCTGAGACGCTGAATTGTTCGTGTAGTCACAATAAGTCATAATAGTTGAAACAGTTGGGTGATTCCTGCGTCCACACGTCCACATCCCTCTGTCATTCTCCAAGTCAGTGTGGTTACTGTTCCCTGGAGTTCAGTTCAGTGATGATTCTGGTCTTGGTGAAGCTCGGATCACAGTTGATCCTGATCCTTAACCCGGGCGTCCACGATCCGTTGGCAGATTGTGGCGTAAGTGGCTCGGCGCTGTCTCTCTGTCTTGGTGAATGTGTGTTCTCCTTCTCTCATCCACTGCTCCCACACAGCTCACACTTTCACTTTAGAACAGCCTTGAGTTTAAAGTGGGTGTTGTGAGCGTGTCTCTGGACAGGAGCATTTTGATATTAAAAGGAATCACAGTCTGTATTACTCCTGATGCTCCTGACTACGGGAGCTGTAACGCTGCAAGTGGAGCGGCTTTGTACTTTACTAAAGTCGTACTAAGACAAACCAATAAATTCATAGATAAGACGCTCTGGATTATAAGGCACGCACTCATTTTTGGATGAAATTAAAGGATTTTAAGTGCGCCCTATAGTGCAGAAAATACGGTAGATAAATAAAGTGTTGTATTGTTGTAGTGCAATATCTGATTATGGAAAAGAATGATCTCCGTCCCTTCACAAAGATTCAGTCGCCTTTTATGTTTTAGCAAGGTTCAGATCTTCATATAACATGTGTAAAATGATGATGTGTTTGTTACTTTAATGATGTTGTAGTTGTCATCCTGCAGTTTCAAGGTGCATTGTGTAACTTTTCTGGATGCTTTTCATTATGAAGATGTTATTGCTTTGTCCTAAATAGAGTTTTGACTTTAGACTTCAGATAAATTTTGCTCCACAGTATGGCATTAAACCTTTCTATCTTCATGGAGACCAAACCAGACCGGGTGTTTTTGAGCTATAAACCCACTTGTGATTGAATACGTGCTGAATACTTGAATGCAGCCGTTTAATGTCACACTGTGGAACATTCCGAAGAACAGAACAGTAACATCTCCATAGAAACAAGCAGGTGACAGACCAAACCACAAGCGAAAAGTGACACAGCGCACCTTTAAGAGCTTTGTATGTAATCAAATCTGACTCCAAAAGGTTGCGTTCACGTGACATGAGCACACTCAGCAGACTCCCTGTGGATGAACCCGAGCTGAGGCAGGTCACGGCGCTCACGTGGATTTTGCTGTGGAACTGTCAGATCACACATTTGTTGACCTGGTTTATGGTTCATATCTCTGTAATTCCTGAGCCTATCCGCAAAATCCATGAAACAAAAACGGACAAAGAGTTCAACATCTTCTCCATCAGTATGCAAAGACTCTAATCTGTGTCGCAAGTTTGTGGAGCTCATCCCAAACAGATAATGAGAAGGTTCAACATTTGTGGCTCTGAAGTTTGAAGATTTCTTCCAAACACACTGAATCTGACAGAGAGTTCTTCATTATTATAGGAATTATTATCATCAAATTAGCATCAAATTGTAGAACGTGAATGCAGCCCGTTGGAGTTTTGTGCACTATGTGACTGTTCCGGTGGAGACTTGTTTGCCACCTGCTGGTCTCCATGACGATGTTCTTGCTTTACCTTGACTGTTCCACACTATGGCATTAAACATATCTAACATTCAGTTACAGGTGTTTTATTGCTAAAACTACACACTCCTCAGATCTGACGTGTCATTTCAAATCAAATTTCAAATCAAATGTATTTGTGTTTCATCATGTGAGGCTTCTCAAAGCGCTGAAGAACATCTACACTGAAATAAAACATACAATAAGTCAAGTAGAAATATAATAATAGCAGCGAGGTGCCGAGGTGCCTCTTCTGGACAAATGCTAAGAAGAGAAGGTGCGTTTTGAGCAAAGATTTAAAGTGCTCCAGTGACTGTGCACTTCTGATGTGCAAAGGCAAAGTGTTCCAAAGTCCTGGTCCAAACACAGAGAAGGTCCCATCTCCTCTGGCTGCAGGGATTTAAGAACAGGAGTGATGTGGTCCCTCTTATAAACTGTATGTATGATTGGACAGAGCTAGTGGACAAGTTCATAGGAAGTTCTCCAGGAGGCTCTTCGGCTCCTTCTGACTCTGGCTCCAGTTGACTTACATTAGGATCTTGTGGCTCCTCTGTCTGTAACTGCTGCTGTGAGCCTCGTCGTTTTGGTCTTAAACGTTTGTATTAACCTGCGACACATGATCTTGATTTTTTTTTTCTTTATTTTGTCCGTAGAAAAAAAAAAAAAAAAAATCCTGTTCATAACATAAATCCTGGCTCCAGAGTGGCTCCTGTAGCCGTGAACATCTTGAGCCTCATTTGAGCGACGCTGAACACTGTGGGTGACGTCACACTTCTTTTATACAGTATACTAAGGTCCCTCCGCTTCTTTCCAGTTAAAAGGCGAGCGGCTGCTTTCTGGAGCCTGCAGGCGGCTGAGGCGGCCTAGTGTTGTGGAGATGGATACCTTTAATGCCATACTGTGGAACATTTCAGGCAAAGTTACATCATAATTCACATTTTACTGTCTCTTATCTGTTCTGAATCCACCTTCTGATACGGGTCAAATAATTATTTTCAACGTTTTGAGGACTGTTTCCATTCTGAAGATACTGCAGCAATATTGTGCTTTAAGTCCTATTTCTCAACATTCTGAAACCCGTGGCTACAGAGGACTACAGCTCAGTTTGTTGACATTGGAATGACCAGTCTGTGCACCTCCCCACAGCCACCTCCTCCTCTTCCTCCTCCTCTTCCTCCTCTTCCTCTTCCTCCTCACATGTTTAATACAATCACATTAAAGTGACTGTGGTGGTTTTAACAGAAGAGCATTGTATATCAGGGATGAGAGTGCATTGTGTTACTGTAACAGACTCACTCATGTAGTCTGAGTATTGTTGATATGATGAAGATATGATGAAGATATAATGAAGATGTGATGAAGATGTTGAAAATATGTTGAAGATATTCTTTGTTGTGGATCTGTGACCATGGCGTAGGAGCACTGTCATAACACACTGTTGTATATAAAGTTTCTACTGTTCAGGGATGTGACACCTGTGTGTGTGTGTCTGTGTGTGTGTGTGTGGTTCTTATGGGAGGAGAGGTTAGATGCTACTGTGTTAACCTTATTCAAACTGCTTCACTCTTTTTCATATAATATTATAAAGTTATATGTACAGGGGGTCCCCAAAAAAACTGTCAATTCTTGTTGAAATAAGCTCAAATTTTCACAGAATGTATAGAAACAGATCAAGATTTTATATGGAATGTTTTATTTTTGTTCTGTCATCATTCACCCCAAACAGAAGTCATTTTGTGTCTTGGACTCTGCTGCACACACTCACCCAAGACTGTGCAGCTTCAATGAAACATTTGGAAAAACCTCACCAACTGGCAAAACAAATTTGGACCAAAATATCCAGAGTTCGGCTGTTTTTGCAGGACTAAAGGATCTGGTTGCGTCAAACCTTCATTTGAGGAATCTGGGTTTCCAAACTTGTTCTCCTTATGGACTTCTTGGGGCTTTTTTCATGAACTTGCTCGACCTTCTCTTCTGATGTTGATGTTGGTCTTGGGTGAGTGTGTGCAGCAGATTCCAAGACACAAAATGACTTCTGTTTGGGAGTGAACGGCTCAACCTGAAAACACAACAAAAATAAAACATTACATATAAAATCTTGATTTTAGCTTATTACAACAAGAATTGCCAAAATTATTGACCTGCTAAAAGATACTAAAATTTTTTGGGACACCCTGTATAATTATGTGTACTTTAGAGAAGTAATGAAGAATACACAAAACTCATTTATGCAAGTTAAGTGGGAGTACTGTTACCATGTTACTGTTACGAGAATCACATGTGAGCCTGTGTCTCCAGAGCCTTCACCTGCAGACAGAGACACATCCATGTTTATGACAGTCCTTCTCAAACACTGGGGCGTGTGACCTTTTTTTTTTAGAATAAAGTGTAATTGCACATCCACTCCAGTAGTGGGCAGTGGCGCTCTCATTGTCAGAGTGTGTGCAGGGAGTATAACGCTCTATTCACGCTTGTGTCACAGGACGACGTTTGCGCTGACAACTTGCGTCAGGCTCTGTTCACAGTAGTAAGTCTGACAAAATCTAGGAAAACTGAGAAAATGTTCCAGTTTTCTTCATCTCCATGTCATTGTAGTGTTCTGTTATGTTCAGTTAATCAACAATTCCAACCACACTCAGTTTTCATCATTTCTCCACTGACACACAACTCTGAGTGCACTGGTACATGTGATGAGAAGAGATGAGGCCAAACTCCAGATGATTCCAAACACCACATACGTCTGCAGTCTTCATTTTACCACTGATCACATTTACTTCAGTGGGTTTGATCACAGTACACACACACACACACACACACACACACACACACGCACACACGCACACACACACAGTGTCGCTGCTTTGCAGATACTGAATCTTCTCTATAAGTCCGTGCTGGGTGTCAGTGTGTGCTGGTCTCCTCACTCAGTCGTGCAGATCCACACTGTCTCACTTGTGTGGCTCACACTTGTACTTCCTCTTTAACCTCTGGGACTTGATTTGAAAATGTTTGTTTTCCTCCTTACACTGATTCAATTACATCATATTTATGGTGAGAGATGTTCCTGCTGCCACTGGGATGAGCAGGAGCGGGAGGAGGCTCAGGTTCACATAGCTCTGCACATGTCAGCCACATGAGTCTATGTGACTGCATTATTCCAGCTCTTGGGATCCATCTAAATAAACACATATAAACACATGATGAAACAAAGTCCTCACTGCTGTCTCCATGTACGTGTTGTGATAATAAAGCTCTGCTCTCTGCATTGTCTCTTCCCTGGATCCCTCTTCAGGCACAGGTGATAGGACCTGTGGTTTATCACATTTTACTTCAGTGAAGTGGCAGTTTGAAAAGAAAAGTACAAAAATACAGGAAGTATTGAGTCCTACACCAGAATCCCTCTGCCTGGAAACTCCAAATCCCGACACACGAGGAAGACACTTTGATGACACTTGAAACATTCATTTAACTAATGAAAACTGTTGTCATTCATTTGAAATCTAATCCAGACTATTGTGTCATTAAGGTTTTGAGTCTACATCACAAAACCACGTGACCTAATGTTTATGCCGCCAAATTGGAGATGAAACTGTCCATGTGGACCAACGTGTAGTATTTGTGTGTGAAATCATTGAATTGAATAACAATGGTTTTGAGCTGTGGTGCTGTTGGATGTTCTGCCTGGAGTCAATCTGCTAAAGAAGGAAAAAATAAAAAAAAATATCTTTCTATTGGATCGCAGACAGAGGTGGAGAGTGGCATAAAAAGAGAGGTACACTCGTCTGTCAGTCAACATTTCATTTCTGGTGAGGGACCATCTCCACACAAACCAAGAAGGGATTTACACAAAATGAAATGATAAATACCAAAAGTGTTTTTTTTTTCTCATAGGTATGAAGAATGATAACCCACTTTCACCAGATTATATCCCATCATTATTCACGTACACAAATCACCAGTGAAACACAAAGCAAAATGTTCACTTATTTCCCATGAAAGAAGATCTAACATGAACAAACAGACACTGGAGGTCGGGCACAGAGCGAGCCTTGATTAAACTGACAAAACGCTCCATCGGAATTAGATCGGGTTCTATTCCACAACCCAGGAGGACGACTTTACCTTTCTATGATGGTTGATCTAACAAGCTGGTGATTTCGGACATTTTTATATCATTTGCGCTGTTTAAAGTCGCCATGATTATATTGAAATAAACTGAATAATAGGGGTGTGCAAAAATATTGAAATATCAATATATCGTATTGTTTAATATGATGATACAGCATCGATATTGGAGACTGCTGTATCGATATATCGCCAAGAGTATTTTTTTGTATATTTTACTGCATCATTTTGTTACAGTGCTACAGTTTTGTTGCTTGTTTAGTGGAAGGACGCTCATTTATGCAGCACATTTGGCATTTTTACTGTTTTGTTGATTAAAATGTTTGTGTTTCATATGAACTTTGAACAAGAAGTGTTTAACAAAGACTTTTAGTATCACAGACATGATTTAGACTTTATTTTTTATTGAACTGTATCAAATCAATTTGAAATAAATCGTGTCAAACCGAAAGTTCACTGTATCGAGGTATGTATCGTATCAGCAACTTCTTAACGATACCCAGCCCTAGTCGTTAGGGGTGTGCAAAAATATTGCAATATCAAGATATAGTATTGTTTAATATGATGATACAGAATCAATATCGCGGGCTGCTGTGTCGATATATCGCCAAGAGTATTTTTTGGTATATTTTACTGCATTATTTTGTTACAGAGCTACAGTTTTGTTGCTTGTTTAGTGGAAGGATGCTCATTTATGCAGCACATTTGGCATTTTCACAGTTTTGATGATTAAAATGTTTGTGTTTCATATGAACTTTGAACAAGAAGTGGTTTAACAAAGACTTTTAGTGTCACAGACAAGATTTAGTCATTATTTTTTATTGAACTGTATCATTTTTTAAATATATCGTGTCGAACCTAAAGCTCACCGTATCGAGATATGTATCGTATCGTGGCCTATGTATCGAGGTATGTATCGTATCGTGGCCTATGTATCGAGATATGTATCGTA